TTGAACTGAGCTGTTTTGCCAACTCTTTCTCCTGGTGGCTGCTTGAGCTAAGGCAAACTGCTTCCTGTTGGGGCCCTAAGGAGCCCCGGCTGGGAAGGGGAGGGCGAGGCTGGCGAGGCGCCCCTCGACGTGAGTGACATCAAGTTGGCCACACCCACCCAGTCACATGACCACCTAGCCACGCCCACCCAGCCGGTCATTAGGCAGGTCATATTAGTGGTCTGCGGGACTTAAATTATGAATTTAGTGGTCCCTGAAGTCCGAAATGTTGGTGACCCCTGGAATAGGACAGTCCAAACTTCGCAGAAACCTATAAAGATCCGTCCACTCATTCAACCAGTTGGTCAGCTGCCCAGAACCACCCGCGTAGTTCTGCTTCAGGTATAAATCGACCTTTATTTCCAACTGAGTCTCCAGCCTCCATTTAATTTTCAGCGTTTTTTCTCCCAGCTTGGAATTGAATCCGATGGATTTCCCTTCCAACGGTGCGTTATATCACCCGGCTCCTAAACGAATATTTTGTTTATTATTTTTTTAGCCCGGTAATAAAAATAGTTGACAGTCCAGGAAGAAAAGCTGCAAATTGCCTTCTCCCCGAGCTTCTTCAGTAAAAATTCAATATTTGGCTTGGCTGAGTAAGTTATCCTGGGATTTTGCATTTCGCAGGCTGAGTCAGTAAGCAAACAAGAGATACGGAGCATGAAACCGATCGATATCTACGCAGACGAAAGACAGGCAAGAATGCTATTCATTCACACACAGGGAGTCCTCGACATACGTCTGCACCGGGGCCCAGAACTCTCCAGCCAAGCAAAGCAGTGGCTAAGCGAGACGCGCCTGATTTTACGATCGTTTTTGCCATGGTTGTTAAGTGAATTGTGCAGTTGCTAAGTGAACCATGCGGTAGTTAAGCAGATCCGACTTCCCCCGTGTTTGTCAGGAGCTGATTAGGAAGGTCATAAGTGGAGATCACAAGAGCCCAGGACGCTGAAACCGTCATAAGTACGTGATGGTTGCCAAAATTTGTCTGAATTTTGATCAGGTGACTGCGAGGGATGTAACTGCGAGGACTGGTTGTAAGTCACTTTTTTTTCTGTGCCGTCGTAACTTTGAACGGTCACTACAAGGTGAGGAATACCCGGACCGCAGATCACATTCGTTAATGTGGTTTGAAATTTACTGCAACGGCTTTTTCTCTGGCAGGCAAAGCAGATTGTCTTGCTTAGCAACGTAAAATTTTGACTCGGTTGTGGCCATAAATTGAGGACTCCCTGTAACTTTAGAACTCTGTGTTCATCGGAAGATCAAAGAGAATTCGGGAGTCCCTCTCAGATTTTTTTTTAAAATCAGGGGTCTCCAAATAAGGCAAATTTAAGACTTGTGGACTTCAACTCCCAGAATTCCCCATGCTGGCTGAGAAATTCTGGGAATTGAAGTCCACAAATCTCAAGATGGCCAGTTTTGGAGTCCTCTGGTCTAAGGCCTCCAAAAGCTTGGATGGAACTAAGCAGATGCATTTTGCAGAAGGATCTAGAAGAGTGAGCCCTACTTTGCGGGAGGGGAGGGTGAGAATCTGCTGCAACAGGTTTCTGATTGGAAGGTTGCTTGTTTGATTGATTGATTCGATAAACCAATGGAAGAGCCGCGTGAGAATCTCCCAATCTGGAAGCTGTGGAGATTCAGCCATGGAGGTCTGGGGATGGGGATCTTATGGTTAGGATCTCATATTCAGGGTGGGGATCTCATACGGATGATGGCAATCTCATGGTGGGAATCTCCCAGGGGTGAAATGCTACCGGTTCGGGACGGTTTGTGCAAACCGGTAGTAAAAAAAAATGCTACCGGTTCTCAGAACTGGTAGTAAAAAATACTTTTAAAAGTTTTTTTTCTTCCTCACGATTGCACAGCTGATCTTTGGAACTCTTTAAAAAAAATTAAGATATTTTTTTTTTACTACAAGTTCTCTGAAAACGCAGCAGTGGGGTGAGGGGATCCGTTTTTGCTCACAGCAGGCTTCCCTGGAGCTTTCTAGGCCAAAAATGGGGAGTGGGGATGCTGAGAAAGAAGGAAGGAAGGAAGGAAGGAAGGAAGGAAGGAAGGAAGGAAGGAAGGAAGG